AACCAAACGAAACATACTTAATTTTTTGACAACCACAACCTTAATATAGCGTATTGTGGCAAACAAACATGTGGTTGGACGGTTAGGAGAACAGGGTAACCCTAGCCCACTAGAGTTTACACTGGACCTCACATTTTCTTGAATTTATTTGAGGTCTTTCGGGTATGTGCGTTTAGTGAGAAGATACGTTCCCGGCAACTACGAAGGCGTCCAGAGCGACTTTCTCAATCTCAAGATGATGTCTCAGCTTAATCTCTCAAATGTACTCAAAGGGATAGTGTGTGCGTGCGTGTATTCATAGAGATAAATGTACATGTGTATACATGCACGACTATGTCTGTATTGTGTTAAAAAATAGCGTATTGTGTCTCTAAGGCCCAATCTAGATTGATGACCTATGGGCTTGACACAGCCAACAACGATGAATAATTGACCCGTGGCGACTAGCTCGCCTTACGCGAGCCAATAACGATAGCGCACCCCAGAAATTGAACCCTAGTTGTGAGGGGGAACACCGGCGCTGCTAACCACTTCGATCGATTACAATTATTAGTTAGTAGTGGATCGCGACCTACTAGAAGCGATCAGAGCCAGTTTTCTCCGTTTTTTTTTCTTTTCTTTCTTTTTTCCTTCTCCATTTTTTTCATTTTTTTCTTTGTTTCATTTTTTTCATTCTACATTCTTTTATACACGATCAACATTTTTTAAATACTTGTTCCACATTTTCAAATACTTGTTCAACATTTTTATATACATGATCAACATTTCTTCAAATACTCGTTCAACATTTGTCAAATACTTGTTCAACATTTTTAAAATAGTTGTTCAATATTTTTTAAATACTCATTCAACATTTTGCAGATACTTGTTCAGCATTTTAAAATACTTATTCAACATTTTTCATATACTCGTTCCACATTTTTTCATACTAATTCAACATTTTTCAAATAAGTGTTCAATATTTTTCAAATAAGTGTTCAATATTTTTCAAATGTGTTTTTTAAAGAGTGTTTTTTGTAATACAGATATGTAGAATATTTTAAATTATAAAGAAAAGTACAAAAATAAAACAAAAATGAGAGCCAAAAATAGAAAGTAGAAAAAAGAACAAAAAGAAAGAAAGAAAGGAGGAGAAGGAAGTGCCGCCAGAATTTTGAATTTGTTCACAGGCGGGCGGGACGCCAAATGGACCGGCCCAGTTGGGCTTCCCTTCGGCGAGAGCTGCTCTTGGCCGTATGGCGAAACATAGGGAACCCCTCATTGATCCGCCTAATTTAGCATGTGATGCATTGTTCTACAATAAAAAAAGCTATTTTTTTTAGGATCAACAAAAAGCTAGATGAGTCGGTGGTTCCTATTTGACGCTCGCGTGCGCCGGCTTCGCTGAAGCGCGGGAGTAGCTGCGCCCGATGGGCCGGCCCACTTCGCTAGTTAATGCAGTCCCAGGCAAACCGGTTTTGGGAACCTTCTAGAAGGTTCCCTAAACCGGTTTCTTTCTTTTTTTTTCTCTTTTGCCGGTTTTCTGTTCTTCCTGCTTCTTTATTCTTTTCTTCTTCAGTTTATTTATTCTGTTTCTTTTTCTTTTTTACTCCTCTTCTTATTTTATCCTTTTTCGTTTTTATTTTCATTCGTTGTTTAAAAAAAGTTTGAAATTTCGTATTTTCTTCATGATTTCATAAAAAATTTATGTTTTTAAATTTTGTTCACAATTCAAAATTTGTTCAACGTACATTACAGAAATGTTCAATGTATTTTTAAAATTTTGTTTGGTGTATATCATAAAAATTTTCAGTATGTATTTAAAATTGTTCAGCGTATAATGCAAAAATGTTCAATGTATATTTAAAAAATTGTTCATCTTTTTGGAATTTCGAAATTTTTGTTCAACTTTCTAATGATTATTCACGTTTGAAAAGTTTGTACAAATTTCAAAAATTGTTCATGGTTTGAAAAAGGGTTTCGCGTTTGTCAAATTTTGTTCAGAATTTTGAATTTTTTGTTCTCGATTTTCTTGAATTGTTCGTAATTTTTCAGAAGTTCTTGTTTACTTTAAGCTCTTGCGCCGCTTGCAAACCAGTACAAGGTTTCAGCTCGACTGGTTTGGTTATAAAATTTCCGAGCGGGACGTCTTGTGTTCGTTCTCTCTCTGGTGCGGGGTATTTTTGGCGTTTTTTTACGCGCTCGAGCTACTGCCTTTAAATGGGCTGGCCCATCTGTATCTACCTTCAGCGAAAGCTACTCTGCCTGACGCTAACGAGCGTCAGACAGGAGCTCTCAGATGAGTCTCCTGGGAGCGCCTCGTAGGCGCCTATCTATAGCGCCCAAACGAGAAACCAGCACTCAAGCGACTGGGAGCGGGCCGCAGCCCATTAAGCTTCGCTCCCTTGCCTCGCTCAGTGTTCATTCGCTTGCTCCACTCGCCTTTCACAGTTCTGCTTTTCTTCTTTGTTATTTGTGCTGCTGGTTCAGAAAAACACCGGCCATTGGTTTTAGTGATTTTGAAACAGAAAAGGTCACTGGTTTATTAAATGTTTGCCGGTTTAAAAAAAACTTCATGAGTTTGAGAAAAAATTAATAAATATGAAAAACAATCCAAAAGTTAAAAAGAAAAATCCAATTTTTTCGAAAGAGTTCATGATTTTGAAAAATACTGGTAAGTTAGAAGAAAATTTCAGGAATTTGATACAGAGTTCACAAATATGAAAGAGTTACAATTTTTTTTAAAAAATAGATAACTTGAAAAATGTTCGTGAATTTTAAAAAAATCGCTAATTTGGTAAAAATTACATGAATTGTAAAAATATTTGTGAATTTTTTAAAAACTTCAGGAATTCAAAAATTGTTGATGAACTTTAAAAAGTTTGTGAATCAACTTTTACAAATTTGAAGAAGTTCTCGAATTTGAAAAAAGTTCACAGTGGAAAAGTTCATGAATTCTAGACAAATTCACAAAACCCTAAAAGTTCATGAATTTGGAAAAATATCCACAAATTGGAGTAAGAGCTCCCGGATTGTGAAATAGTTCACAAATTCAAAACTATTCATTAATTTTAAAAAGTAATGAACTTGTATAGATTTTCAAATTTGTAAAAGTAAGAAAACCAAAAAAGGAAAAATCAAAAGAAAAAGAAAATAAAAAAGGAAAAAATGAAAAGAAAAAAAGAAACAGAAAACCATAAAACCATTTGGAAGCTTCCTTGAAGGTTCACAAAACCGGACGTTGCAAATGCTTTTGCAAACGGAAAAAGTGAACCTAGATGAGCCGGCTTATCCGCTACGTACGTGTTGCGAGGGGTGTGCGCCAGTTAGTAAATAATCCTATAAATGACGCCTTAACGCCAAATAGGTCTTGGGGGAACCCCCTCCCCGGCGCCTCAAGTGACAGGGAGGGTAGCCATCGCTCACGCGCACCCCCTCGTGGGTCGGCCCATGCAAAGGAACCGAATCCTCGCTCATGACGCGTTGTTTTCCCGGTTCACTGGTTGCGATTTAATAGTCCACAGATGACCATTGATAGTTGACTTTTCAAAAAAATATTTTTTAGGAAAAAATCATGAATTCAAAAACAAGACCCCTTTTTAAAAAATGTTCACAAGTTAAAAAAATGTGAATTTGGAAAAATTTCACAAACTCGGTAAAGTTGAAGGGTTCAAAAAAGTTCACAAACTCGAAAATGTTCAGGAATTGAAAAAAAGTTCACGGATTTGAAAAAAATTCATCAATTCTGAAAAAACATATTCATGAATTCAAAAAAACTGGACTTTGAAAAAAATCACGGTTTTGGAAAAGTTCACGAATTGTAAAAATTCCGTGGATTTGGAGAAGGTTTATGGATTTGAATATATTCATGCATTTGGAAAAAGTTAACAGATTCAAAAAAGTTATTAATTTGAAAGAAAATTCACTTGTTCTGAAAAGTAAAGTTCATGAATTTAAGAAAGAGTCAAGAATTTGAAGATTTTTTAAAATTCTAAAAAGTTTGCACATTTTAAAAAGAAACAAAAAGGAAAAGCGCAATCCAACGACCGAAACTACGCTGGATTACCTATTAATGGATCGGTCTAGATAATATCTATTGAAGCGGGGGATGTGAGTCGCGTACGAAAAGCGCAATAACTAGCGCTTCGAGCCCTAAATAGGAGTTTTTTTTCCGAGAAATTTTTCGATCTATTCATCTTCAATCATGGCAGTACAACGAACA